TCCTTCCTTCCTTCCTTCCTTCCTTCCTTCCTTCCTTCCTTCCTTCCTTCCTTCCTTCCTTTCCTCGACCCGACACAGGGGTATAGACTCCGGTCTGTAAAGGGAGAAAAACTACCATTTCATCACCGCGGAACCAAGCTCGTGCGAATAAATAAAATGACCAGCGATATTCCTAATCGAAAACAAAATTAATTGTCAAGAAAAGAAGAATTCGGATTTGAGGCTTATACAGAAAATAATTCCGGAAACTAGGTTTATAGCATGTTTTCCGCCTTGCAACTGCTTTCTCCTAAGTGTTTGATACATTGTTATACAAAGAAAACATTAACCACAACAAGCAAGGAACGAAATATTTTCAAAGTGTTCATAAAGTAAACACGAATCGACTTGATCATATCAGTACAATTATTAAAAGCGTGGTCCTTTGGACGTGGTCATGTCTGTCGTCAGAATCGTTTGCAGGTGAACAGGGTTTCGTTTAACCTGTAACAAGACCGTAATGTCAATGTGGGGTTGGGAAGTAATTATTCGGGCTCGTCCATGATCTTTGTTTTCAATCGTTGGAATTACAGGATGTAACCGTGCGTCTTGTTTTGCGTATCTTTGTAAAAAGCTTAACATACAAAAGTGAGTTTAAAAACGACGCTGCGCTAAAGAATGATAAACTACTAGTTTTAATAAACTACTTCATTGTTTTTCCCTATGTCTTTTGCACACAGCAGCAGCGGAGGGAACAGTCACGGTGTATCGGGCTTTGTGAGGAGAGCCTCATCAGCTCTGTGCAGACTCGTTTCCGCGACGCCTGCTTGCGTTGGGAAGGGGCTGGCAATGCCACCTGCTCCCTCCGCCTCCGGCTCACGGCGGCGTTCAAAGCTGCTGCAGGTGGCCGCAGTCGGGGCTGATCGCCCCTCTCAGAGAGTCGTGGTTTCAGCCGGGCATCGGGGACCACCCGTCCCGGGCACGCAGGTGCCGGCGCGCAGCCAGCCCGGGGTTCGGCTCGGTTTCTGCCAGCCCGTGCCTCTCCGGGGCGTACACCGCCGGGTTTGCCCGCATCCCGCCGGTCTGCCCGCCCCAGTGCGGTGCTGGGGGCTAGCAGCGCCTCTGTCCTCCTAGCCCGCACATCCTGCGGCTCCGAATGCCGATCCCGCGGCTCGGTTCGCCTCGGCTAACGAGAGGGACGCCTCTTGCCCCGCCCGGCCGGGGGCCGGGTGCTCATCCCGACCCAGGGGCCGGCAAGCCGCTCACCGAGCAGCGGCGACGCCGCTTTTTGAGCGGGACCGACGGAACGAGGTAAGCGCTCGGCCTCCGCCATCCGCGCTGCGGCGGGGCGACACCGAGCCCCCCGCCCTTGACGGGTGAGGTCGCCGCCGGGCTGCCGTGCCGCCCGTACCGGAGCGCCGTGGCGGCGCGCCGTGTCCTCCCACGCGCCTGGCGCCTGCTTCCCCGGGACATCCTAGAGTGTCCGCGTCCGCGTCCGCGTCCGCGTCCGCGTCCCGTCGCCGCCAGGAGAGCGCAGAACTCGACGCGCGTTGCCCCCTGTGGCCTCTGGGCAGCGGCGGCCGGTGGCCCTGCGGGTGGCTGCTGCCTTGGGAGCCTCGGCTATCGGCGTGAGGGTCCCGGGGACAGAGCCAAAGCCTCCTGCTCCGTCTAAAGCCGCCCTTGGAATCCGGTTGGCGCTTCGTATGTTATCAGTGACACTTGTTGCATATTAGTGGTGCGTTTGTCCATTTCACTGACTTTCCTGAAATCTCATACCCTCGTTTTTCCACGTGGAAGTATGGGGGGGGGGTTAACCTCTATAGACCCCGTGGTGTGATAAATGTACTTTTGCGTCTGTTCTTCAGACGAGGTGTGACACCGAAAGAGGAGACCACGGGCAGGTATCGGCGGGTGTCTCCGGCTCCCCGGGCAGCTCGCAAATCCCCTTTCCGCCCAGCTGCTCCCTCTCCCTGATACTGTTGGGTCCCAGGAGCTGCCAGGTTGCTCCGGGGCCAAGGACTCCCCTAGCCCTTAAGCTAACTCCGTTGGAGGGCAAAGCTCGTTGCCCTCGGAGGCGTCGCAGTGGCCAGGCAGTGCTCGGGGCCACTGCACCGGCCGCTACGCTCGCCCTGGCTCCGGCCCGGGCCCCGGCCATCTGACTGCTCGTCCCCGGGCTCTGCGCAGCTCCCGCAGTCACGCCCGGCAGGCTCTCGCAGTGGAGAGGTGGTCTCGGTAAAGTAAGTCGGGGATTCCGTCCTGGAGAGTCAGCGGCTCAGCGGCTGCCGGAGAGCTCTCTCTCTCCGGTGCTTCCTCCCACGGCCGAGCTGAAGTTACTGATGAAGGGGTTACCCGAGCAGATAGAAACCAGCCCGAGGCGGCTGTGACGGCCAGTGCAGGCGCTTTCCGGGTTAGTCCGGCAGCGCTGCAGCGCGTCCCGTCGGGCGGACACGCCACTGGCACTGTTCGTGTCGCCTCCTTCGGAACGTTCATTTCAGCGGAGGAGAACAGGGCCGGGCCGCGGGCAGTTCGGTCACCTGGCCGGGCCGGGCCGCGGGCAGTTCGGTCACCTGGCCGGGCCGGGTCACGGGCAGTTCGGTCACCTGGCCGGGCCGG